TCTTGGGTCCTTCCCTTGCCTCCATCGCCGGGGATAGCACGGCCGACTGAGCGTGTCCAGAGACCAATACGGTAGAAACCTCGCCTAACGTTGACGACAACACCCATGACTTCGTTGTCGTCCTCATCCTCAAGGTTCTCGCCAATGGCGGCCAGCATGACGTGCAGCCAGAGCGCATCAATGTTGATTGCCTTCTTGTCCTTGAACTGGAAAGCCCATTTGCCACCGTGCTTGTTCTGTGAGTCTTCCCACTCGGGACGTACACCCTTCTTGAAGAGATGGTAATCGGACTTGAGTGCCAGGTCGGATGTTGGAGTAATGTTGTTCTGGAAGCCATGTTAGTTTCTTAGGCTGCGCCAGCGGCAGAAGATAGCTTACGTAGATACCCCAGAACTCCTCGACCGAGTCAAACGAGATAACCTCTTTGAGCAGTTCGGCCCAGTTGTCGCCCTGCAATAGTTAGCGAGGATACATTGGTTGGCATACACACGACGTTAGCGTACCTTGCCGCTCGGGGGCTTGGTGAACCACAGTGTCCATGTGTTCATGAGCGGGTGCTTGACGTTGAAGTTTTCGGGATCATGGAAGACAGTGCGGATCTCGCCCTCATTTGCTGTGTTGCTGCTGGACTGTTCGCCCTCTCCAGAGTTGTCGGTAGGTGAGATGGGAATCGTGTCGAGCGGAACCTGTTGGTTGCTGTTCGCGGATGCGGCGACTTCAGCCATTGTGTTGGTTTTTGGGATGTGTATGTGTGTGGGTGGTGGTTTGGAGAAAAGGTGGTAGCGGTTGCGGGGGAATTTAAGAGGATTGGTGGTGGGCGGAATAAGGTGAAGGCGGGCCTATCGCAGTCGCACCAGGCGATGGTACCGAGGCGGTCGCGGGAATGTGCAGCCTAAGGGACTGCTTGCGGAGAAGGGACGGGTCGAAATTAGCTGCTTGCGGCGGGCGTGTCTGTCGAGCAGAATAATATGCAGCGCAATCGCACTTGGTGGGAGCCTTTTGGCCTTGGCACGCTAGACGCTCAAGTTTCAAACATGTCGCAAGCAGAGCGCCAGAGTCTCAGATGGCAGTTGGGAAGAAAAATAACTTTCGCTTTTCTTTGATCGCCCCCCCGAACTTGTCTTCCCATCACCATGAACGCGTTTACCAAGACAATTCTTATGAAGATAACCCCATCCCCAAGTGAAGTGCACGCCTGCAAAGACACCTCTTCGACACACCCATCAATGCAAAAAAGTATTATTATACCCCGACTATCGTGCCAGGTCCTCACAGATGACTTGTAATCCGGCCTCCATCGTCGTGCAAAATTAAAATTACTAGGATCCAACTCTATAACTGCCTTGACTCGTTCATGGTGGCTAATATAATTACATACAGACATAATGGCGAAACATAGAAACCCTGGAAATCCTATAGTTCGCTCTTTTCCACAGTCTCTAGGACTTTGGTGACTTGCGCAGGTGCCGTGCTGGCTGCTCCGCCTAGAAGTTTGCCAAGGTCCGTTTTGGCCTGAGACCAGGCAATATCGAAGCGGGCGCCTGCGAGGTAGGCGATGAACAGCTACCAAAGGTTAGCAAAGCTCGAGTATTCGTAAACTTGAGACATACCATCAGCGAAGTCATGACAAGAACAGTTCCAATCACAGCAGCGACAACATAGATCAGGTCCCAGTTGGCCTCTGCATCTTCCTTCTGCTTCTTGATCGCTTCTTCTATTGTGGCTGGTGCTTTTCGGTCAGGTGGAGGCTGTTGCGATGGGAATATCGACTCGATGAATTGCTCAATCTGGGCCTGGTTAGCCAAATCATTTTGAACCGACTTCACATGAGACTCACCTTTCCCAATGTAATGCTGATCTTCAAGAAATTCGGGTCGTGTGGGTTGTTCTTCTTCGCAATCTTGCGAGCATATCGCCTAAAAATTTCACAGACAAGCTGCAAGTTCTGTGTAGATTCAACCATCAACTGGCAAGCTTCGCCCTTGGTAATCTTGACGTTCTTCTGGAAAAGATCATAGTTCTGGAAACAGGCTTCCAGAGTCGCAATGGCCATGGACTGGGGGATCGCGCAGAAGTTGAACACACTCTGCTCTCGGAGACCAGCCAGATAGTACAAGCAGTCATCCGCACGGGTTAATGCCGTCAGAATCATTTCTGAGCTAGCGTTCAGTGCCTTTTCACTGTTTTCCGGCTTGAAAAGGTCCTCGAAGTTGTCCACGTGCTTGGACCAGATCTCCTTGGGCCAGAATCGGCGGCCGTCGTCGAAGTCCTCCCTGACGTCACGGGTGATGTTGACCTGCTGGAGGAGCTGGCCCATGGACTCCATGAGTTCTGGCCTCTTGAGTAGCGCAGCATTTGCCAATCCAGCCTCGACAAAGAGGCGTGTGCATCCCTCACCAACCAGGCCCGCGACGTAGTGGCAGTATAGCTCGTATTCTTTGATCGTCTTGACTCCAGCATTAAACTCAGCGTTGTTGGCATAGTCTGCCATTCCGTTGCCCATGCGCCTGGTGATGTCCTTGATGATGTCCTTGTAGGCGGGCTTGATCTTTTTGTATTCCTCAATGACCACGTTGAACTCGACCAGAAGCTGCCTGTCCTTCTCGTTGGGACCATTTTCCGTAAATGTCCAGCCATCCTGTTCCAGGATATCCTGGAAGTTGCGTAGAAGAGGCTCCTTCTTTGCCAAAGGGATGGTCATGTCATCCTCAATCGTATCGAGACCACGCAGGATCAGGTAAAATACTGTGACGGGCGCCAAAAGATCAGGGTGCAACTCGAGGATGACGGCGGCAAAACTACGGCTTGTTTGGTTGAGGAAGTGGTAGCATCGCTTCAGGGACTCGGGTTCCTTTGATTCGTCGCGCTCATGTACTGGGTTGTGCCATACTTTCCTGGGGGGGACATTAGCCACGTCGACCACGTAGGGAGGCCCGCAGACGCGCAAAGGAATACGCAAGATGGAACTCGTACCATTGAATTATGGAGCGCAATTCAGCCGGGTGAACGGCGTAGTAGAGGAAGCCCAAGGGACTCATGCCAGGCAGACGTAAAGGAATCGGGGGTTTGTGCGGGTGTTGGCGCAGCGGTGTATACTACTTGCAGAAAAGCCACAAGACAGACGCCAATTGGTACGCAAGAGACAGAGGACCGTGGTAGATACAAGATCCAGGATGGGTGGCAGAGTGTGCTGCTGGGCGGTTGCAGAAGACGTTGGTTTGCCCCTAATTCGAGCCTCTCCGCAAAGAAACAGCCTTGGACCCTGTGGTGCACGGCCCATTGGTAATCCCGCTTTTCGCGCCTCCCTCTTGTCATCACTGATTGTTGCGTGTCACCCATCTTCACCGCCAACCCCTTCTTGAGCGTACGAATAACGGCCAACATAGGGACGATGACGAGACATCATGGCTTTGCTCCAAGAATCTGGCACGCCGTCATGCGCATGCCCTGCTCTTACTCGTAGTTCGTCCGCCGTGAAGGCCACCCGTTCTGCATTCTAGCGGGAATGATGCCAAGTAGATGCGGATACATTAACACTCATTTCTTGATCGCTCTTGGGCCTTTGCTCATTTTCTCGTGCCGAGTACAGCGATGTTTTGGTATGCCAGTGGCCTCAGGCAACAATTTCGTTTTCGGTTTCCGTAATCTGCTCCACAACAGACTCAACGACTTTTCACTACGAACTCATCTGGTAATAGGATGTGGGACGCGCAATGAGATCATGTCATGTATTTTGTGTTGGGGGAAAAGAGATCGAAAAATTTCGTCCGCCGTTCACGAAGTGATGAGAGATGAATGGATTAGATGAGTGGATTAGATAAGGTGCGACGGTGACACAGAAGCAGAACCCAATCGGTAATTTTCTATTCCATAGCCCCCCTACAGTGCAGCTCGCACCCTGGCTGCCCCGTCAGCTTTCCACACACCACGGCCATGTGTATCGAACTCTAGATAATGATGTGCTCAGCCCAATTGAGGTAATGACGCCACAGATGCACTATCGATAAGCCGATACCATTCCTTCAACCCACATACATATCTACAGCAGAAACAACACATCCTACACCAAGAGCCATGGCAACAATACAGGCTGCACCAGTTGCTCTGCCACGCGTTGCAATTACATACTGCACTCAATGTCGCTGGATGCTGCGAGCAGCCTATGTAAGCCCTCTTATACGTTGCACCAACAACCTTCACCAACATATACTAGTTTGGCCAAGAACTCTTATCAACATTCGGAACGCAAATAGGTGAAATCGCCTTGATCCCCGCGACTGGGGGCCTTTTTACGGTGGAACTGGTAGGTTTTCATATTGCCATCACGCTTGCTTGCTAGCTGCTGACATTGCAAGACATACCTTCCGCCTGTGGAACAAGGTCAGAATGCTGAAGCAACAAAGGTGCTACTGTGGGATAGAAAAGCCGAAGGGGGATTTCCTGGTATGTATCTCTCAGCAATGAAAAGCGTTCAGTTAGTGGGATGCTGACTGGCTCTAGAAACAAAGGTACTGAAGCAAAAGGTGCGGGATTGCATTGACCCTTCACGGGATCTAGGGCACTCAGATAAGCACGGTAAGAAGAAGGAAGAGAAATCGGTCCAAGGAGATAAGACTGAGCCCGAAGACAGAGGAGCAGGCCAGGAGAAGAGCCAGGAGGTTGAAGTCAAGAGGAATCCAGATGGAACCATTTGCGAGGATTGTAGATGATAAGCGAGGCGTGGGCTGTCATTGGCAGGATGAGCTTAAGCTCGGGTATGTCCATTGCTATATCTAGTGTTTTTTCTTAGTAGGCAGTAGTGTACAAACTGATATATCTGACAGAACAAACTTGTGTATGGGGGTGCGGAATGCCACCCTTGATTTGATCCACACTTCGCTACAGAAACTCTATTCCATTTTGTACGTATACTGTCTAACCCTAGGCAAGTAGAAAAGCTAACGATGGCTCAGATCTCATGCCAAGTTTGCCGCAACGCCAATGTACAGCTAGCCTCAACATCAACAGCAATGCTGCAGCAGCATTTGCACTACTGTGAAGCGATCTATCGGCGTAGCCTCTATGAGACATGCATTATCGTGAAGTGAGGAGCCGCGCGTAACTTTGGCGCGCATGTGGGGAGGATGCACTATGGTAGGTGTAGTAGTGAATGAGAATACGTCATCTACTTGACAGCAAAGCTTTGATCCGCGGATGACGATTAGTTGGATACATGAAACTGACCATGTCGATGATCTTTGCGACGTGGTGTAATCGTTGGTGATGTGAATGCTGTCACGTAGTCGCTGATCGCGACACTCGGAGGCTGTAGCCGGTGATGCTCCTTGCATGGTGCAATATGTTGTAATACACCATCATTCGGCGGAGGTGAAGTCCGAGTAGGCTCTGGCGTGGTGGTGACGACGACGAATGCGATTACAAAGCTGGCACAAGTCGGCGGGGAGCACTGCCAGTATATGCAGTGGCATGATGCCCACCGGACACCAGCATCTATACCTGTGCTCCTGCTGTAATAGACAGCCTGTAAGTATGTAGTCATGCATCGCAATCGTACGCTAAGCTGTGAGGAGAGCCGAGCTGCGAGCAATCTTGAACGGCGATCATAGCGGGCTGACGGCATCCCCACCCCCGACTTCACACTCACAATTGGTGCGCAACAAACACTCCGACACACTTGAATTCGGACGCGTACAACACCACGCCAGGTCGATGCGCAAGCCATCATTTCCCCATCCTCGCTGCCACATTGCCGTGGCGCCAGTAAAGCGTGGGAAAAATGGCCCCATACAGCCTCGACAAAAACCGCCACCCTGGCTGAGGGAGATCGCCGTATCGTCTAGAAGCGCCACACAAGCCTTGCTAATTATTCCAGCACTCCCAAGGCTCATATGCTGGCGCGCGCTTTACTACAATTTGAAAAAATAAGGCCATGTAAGCGACTGCGGGGTCCTGAGTTGGGAAGCAGCGCAGACAGCCCCAGGGCCTAACAGCCAGGCCAGGTACACATGGCCGCCCAATTACACGCATGGGGGGTTCTAAACTCTACTCTTCTGGGACGCCTCTAGGCATACTCTGCACCATGTGCGTCGAGAACGGCCGCGCCAGTTCGATTTCCCGGGGCCATAGCCTGACCAGCGCAAGCCACTCACGGCAGTCGACCCCTTCTGGCATGGTCGTCTCGCAAATCGCTCTACCCGCTTCCTCACGAGCCGATACATGCACACTATAGTAGGCGGGCGTTGCGATAGCTGAAGGGACGACGGGGATCTAGACACATGGCTGCATTGTCCCACCTTCGGCTGCTACGAACTTCCACTCAACCCTGTCTCCCTGCCGCAGCAGAGGTAAATCGATAACATTGATCCCCGCCCGTGCGTGTTGTGTATTTCATTCTTTGGTACGCTTACCTGCGCTTTTTCACACTAACATAGCCTCGAAAGCGCCTCAGCCCGTACAATTAACGTCAGAGACAAAACTTCATTAGCACTTGATTCCCAGTCGCACGTCTACCCTCTTGACAACTTTTCATGATTCTGCACACAGTGACCTGAGCTTGGTAGTCGCCACAGCCTCATTGGGCGGACTTCGACGGCCACCCAAGGACTCCGTACATTCCAATCAACACGTCATAGCCGGACTACAGGCGACCATATCTATTTTGGGTTTCTACAGGACGATAACACGAAACCTTTAACTGGCATCTAAATGGGCTCGAGATCTGCCAGCTGCTCTGCAGCAACACGAGAACCGATGCATCCGACAAAGATTCAGCGATGGTCGGGCTTGACCCGTACAGTAAACGACTGGGACCACGGTTTGCGAAGGGTATGTTGAAGCTCGTCGTTATTGCTCTTGGCTGACAGTTCGAAAAGGACCCCGAACTATGGTATGAAGATGGCGACTGCTACATTCACCTTCATGCCAGAGGAATGTCACGTCGCGGCCCGTCTTTCTGCATTCCTTTTAGAGTCTTGCGACAAAAAAAGTGCGAGTCGATAATCAGCCAGTGTGATGCCCATTTGGTTTCACTGCAGACATCGGCCTCGCAAAAATTGAAGCGGGTGCCCAGTTCACTGATTGATGCAAACAAGCAACAAAGCACTATGGAACTTTTCATACCTGCGCCCGCAGAGGTTGCTCGACAAGACTCTTTCAGATGGCACATTACAACTCGTAACTTCTTCGCGTTCTTGCTAGGCAAACCGTTAGTTGGCGACCATATGGGCCAGGCTTATGTGGATCTCCAAGAAAGGTTACACCTTTTCCGGCCTGATCACCCTAGCAACATGCAAGACTTTCTATCATACGCTGAAGACCAGGGCTACCGGGACTTGGTCGAATGCACAGATTATGCTCTTGCAAGTTTGTTCTATGCAGAGCGTTACAAGCTCAGGGATGTTTGGGTTGATGCTTTCGCCCATTGTGTTGGCATGAACGAAAGTTTGGCCCTCAGCCCGGAATTTTCAGTAAGGAGCCAAAGTGTGCTACTTGAGTACGACGCTAACAACTACACAAAGCCTATCTCAAAACTTACCAAAGCCTTGATTACCCGAGCTCATCGCGAAGTCGATGCTCATCTCGGGCGCGTATCTAGTGCGCTCAGCAAGTTCCTGCAAGAAGACTTCTCGCCTACATATCTTGGGCTGACGGACGCTGCTCGAAGCCATCTTGACCGATTCCGCCGTTTCTTGCACACATTCTATGCTGAAAAATTTGGCTACTGGCCGCCACCTCGAGGCACTGTATTCCCCAAGGCTCTTTACAAGTCCATGTATTATGACTTCAAGAGCCTTTACGACTATCTCGTAGATACAACATCTACTGTCGACATTTCTTCTCAAGGGCCAGCGAGTGGTGGGATTTGTGTTCTGCAGAACGTGCTTACTTTTGACCAGCGGCACAACTTCACTTCACTGCCACATCCATTGCCACTGCTGCCAACATACGTATCGCCTTCGAAAAAATCAGACTCGCACAGGGCGTTACGGCAGCTTACTCTTGCTTCTCAACATCAGAAAACACACAAGATCCATACCATGAGCGGCGCGTTAAGGGCCGCAACGAATATTCTAGACCAGCATGTCATCAGCTCGAAGATTGTTCAGGCGTATATGCACTTTGAGAACACACATGCCGTCAACGCCTGCCGGCGTCAGGAGAAAATAACCGTCATGGATGCGCGCAAAGTCCGGTGGCTCCTCATTTATGGTACACTCCAGTACCTAGTGTCTGCACTTCGGGCTCCAAAGCAGGTCCGCGACTCTGAAAGCTCAGATTATCCCTTGTGTTATATTGCAGATCCCACTTCATCAGCTGCAGACCGCACAGATGCGGCTCCTTCGCCAGCCCCTTCGATGAATATTTCCCAAGCCATCGACCAGTACATTTTGGAGTCACAATGCAGCCCTTCGCCTATCGAACCAGATTGCCAAAGGGAGGACTATTTTACCCCCAAAAACTTGAGTCGGCGAGGGTCCATGGAAGTATCACCACTCAGAGTTTCTCGACCTGCGCGTCCATCCTCAGTGCGGTCATTGTCACAAATTTCACTGTCCTCTCTGAGCTCTAGACGGAACAGCCTTACGACGCAGTCCACGCGTCTCTGCGTTAGCAGTACCAAGGTGTTGAACGAGTTAGTGGAGAAATCTCAACCTTCAAATAATGACCCGCTTGTTCTTGTTTGCTCTGATCAATCCACCTCGCCGATCGTCATCAACCGAAGTGGGTCAGAAACATCTTGGTTCAGGTCGCGCACACCTTCTGTTTCGCGCAGCAGGCGAGCCTCAACAAGGAGCACAGATGGCTTCCCGAGAACCCCACTACTTGACAGCTCACAACTCGATCGTTCTGCAAAGGCGCTATCGCTCTTGGGCATGGGAGAAGTCCCCAGCCGGTCGGACAGCACTAGCTCTACGGGAAGTTCGTTGTGGAGTGAGGGTGTAAGTGCAGCTTCATCCAAGTCAAGTACATGCGACGATAAACCTAAGACCAGTGAAGCAGAGGAGTGTGGTCTTCTAGGCGGTCTTGTCTCCATTATGACCCCAGTGGACTCACGAAGGATTATGTTGCCAACCACACCTCCCGTGTCACAAAGCCACATACACCCTTCGTTGCGGCAGGAATCTCGGGGAGACGGGTTCCAATTCGAGTTCGATGACATGAAATCAGGAGCCGAGCATGGTCACCATGAACCTAATGATTCTCAATCAACCATTGGCATGGCCGTGTCGATGCCTCCATCATCCAGCCCCCATGTTTCTCTAGGAATAGAGCCTACACTCACTGATACCGAGACACGGCTTCTAGTTTCTGACAAGAGACCGTTCCTTCCACGATCCATTTCCATTCTATCGGCTCCAGCCAGTCCATCCTCTGCATCCCATGACGGCCTGGATACCGTCAAGGCTCCCACAGAGAACTACTGGGAGCATTACAAGGCCACACTTACCCAACAACGAGAACGGTCAAGGTCACGTACCGGTTCGCGGTCAGAACTTGCCTCTCCCGGACCCTTCAAAGTGCCCTTCTCCCGCCTCTCCAACCCCAGTAATGAGGACAATCGCGGCGTGAAGAGTGAGCGAAGACTATCCCATCTATGGCGGCGCTAAATTTCATTCGTTCGGCTTTGTCGTAAATTCGGTTTCTTACACTTTTAGCGACTATGTGGCGTTCGGCGAACAAAACTTGTTCCAGCATCTCTGTTCTATACCCTCATCTGCATCAGCATTTTCACCTTTTACACATGTACATCAACAGCTAGCAATAATGCACTCATAAGGCAGGGAAAGCGATCTCTTACCGCCATCTTGCTCTGCGCATCTAGAAAATCTTGAACCTTGAATCTTTGACGTATCTCTAATCGGACCATGGTAAACGGAGCGACCACGGACGCAGCCTAGATATGAGTTTCCCCGGCTGCTAGGTTCATGACAACAATCTCTAGCGTCTTGCGGGGAGTAGGTTGCTGCTAGCTACACTCGCCTATCCTACTGACTGAATGCACTGCGGTAATTTGTGCACAATCGCGATCGTCATTAGGAGAGCCTTGACAGAAGTAGCGCGTAGTTGTGTATTTAGTAGCCTAAACGTACATCTTCAAGAGATTTTACAGTCACAGTTCTTCGCTAACAATTACATAGGCATCACCCCGATCCGACTCATGTGTAGCAACCTCCACAGTATAGCGTGTATGCAGATGGTGGAGACAGCCAGGTACAAGTTCGATAAGGTTCTTTGTCATGGACCTAACTCAGGATAGAGTGGCCTCGACGCTGGGCTCGGAGTGTGGCTCGGCATCGACGCGGTGAGCTGACAAGGAAGACGCCGAAATTTGAGTATCCACTGATGGCGTTATCCTAAGCAGACAGGCTAGAACGGCTTGCGGCCGAACTGTCGAATCTTTTCCTCAACAAACATACGATCGCCTTGAGTGATCTGGAGCGCAGTTAACTTTGCGCCAGCGATGGGGGTTCTAAAAATTGAACCCCGGCCCCAGAATTTCGAATGCGTCGCCTTCCACTAACAACGTCATCCAGAAGCAACTAAATAGACCAAGTGGCGAGATTGCGACATCGATGAGGCTTGGGCAGATTCATCGCCCCAAATGAATGGATGTGGCGTGCGGCTCAACAGCATTTACCGCTCCAGAGCGGTACCTGTGCAGCCTTGCACTTGCGAGTCATTGTCTATCACAACAAAACAACGTGGTACTCATGCTCGCTAGCAACAGGCTATGGAAAACCCGTTGCGAGCACCTAAGGTTCGGCCCTTTGCCATTGCATGCAGATGCACGCACAGAACGGTTGTTCCTCGTATTTGAATCAAGAATATCTTGGGCTGTCTGTACAAAAGAAGCCATGTTGGGGGTGTGGAACCTATTTGTGCCGAATATGCGGAAGACATTGTTGGAACTAACTTGCACTAATCCAACATCTGTGACACGGGCGAGTACAGTTTACGCAACTAATTCCTCCTGATTACAGCTGATCAGTTCCCTGTTTTGCATAACAAGAGCAATTTGCTAGGCAAAAGGGAAGGCGCAAGGCGTAGTGTCCCGCCATTTTCCACACACAAGGCCGGTAAACGTCCGTCTGAGGATAGGCAGGCGGCAACCACCACGCTGTGGCTCCATCATTTCTCGTATTCTCCACTACCCCCTTGGTATAGAATGTACAATATCTGGAGCTCTGATAGACGATCACGTCGAAGCTTCGTGCCCCAAGCGTCGACCTTATGCCAACTATGTATGTAAGAGCCTGGGGTTGAAAATGGAAACAAGATAAATACAACATCCCCATCCTCCCCACAGCCCATCTTCATCCACAGGCAGCCGTCTCACTACCTCCTTCCAATCCTCTCCTCCAACCCAAAACACCGCAACAATGCGCTTCCTCACTCTCACCACCCTCCTCGCCACTGCGAGCGCTGTCCCAACGCTCTACCAGCGCAGCCCTGTCGGCAACGTTGAGCCCGTCCTGATCACCGACTACAGCCTGCGCAAGACAAATGGTACCATCCAAAATGTCAACTTCCACATCCACGGCTTCCAGGCCCGCAATGTGTCCTGCGCCGCTGGCCCCATCCTCTCGCTTCCCAGCGAGACTGTCACCTGCGGAGCCAGCAACTACAGGTTTGTGCTGTCGCCATTGAACGGCACCGACCCCAACCAGTATGCCCTGAGCGTTTACCACCAGACCGGTATTGCGTAAGTTCTTCCCTCTCCCCTTTCCTTTTTTCCATAAAACTGTTGTGGTATGATGGTAGTGGCTAACGGAGAAATTAGTTCTGGCAAGTACGCCACTGGTACCGTTCCTACCTACTGCGTTGCTGGCGGTCTCGGATCCCAGGATCTGCAATGCAACCAGATTCGTCAGCTTGGTCCTTACAAGCTTGTTCTTCGCTCCTAGATGGATGCGGGTAAATTGACGGGGTAAATGAAAGTAAGATGGATATGAATATTGGCAGGCCCTGAAATGTTTACTGTATATAATGAGGGCGCGAGAAGAGATGAGAGACTGGGGAGGTGGTGAAAGGGGCGAAGTGATTATTGAATTTCTTGTATATAGAGTGAGGATAGTTTATTGAGTGGTTTGTTGGCTTCGATCATTAATGTTTTTTATCTGCGGTTGAGTGTAATGAAGTGAGGTTTTTTGACATGTGGTGTGAGGACAAAAACAAGTACATACATTGGGAAATAGGTAACTGTACCAGTGTTTTCCTCATCTATATTCCATACACACAAAAATCATGACATTGTCTTGTTGACATGCAAATACACCTCCTTACATCAACAGCTCTTCACTAGGAGACATACTCCGGATCAACCTCAATCACCATGTCCACCCCAAATGCACTCGGCCTAGGCGCTACAAAATGCGGTATCCGCCAAACCTCCTCATTCCATCTCTCCAGCGTCCCCGGCGCAAGTTCCTCCTGGCAATCATAAACATTAAGATACTACCACATCACAAAACGTCAGTCACACATCTCCATCCCCAACTCCACCCCCTCCCTCAAAACCCCCCAAAAAATCAGAAAGAGAGAGAGAAAATAATAAAGAACAACATACCTCCAACCCCCCCATCCCCCCAATAATACTCAAAACCCCCTCCCCAATAACCCCCCCACACTCCCCAAACTCCACCCTTCTAACCCGTTCCTTCCCACACCAACTCCCCAGAAAATCCCAAATTCCCCCATCAACCCCACTACACCTTTCTAAACACAGCTCTTCACACCCCCTACTCTCCTTCAGCAAAACCGCAACCTCCGCCGTCCCCACCACCGCCCCCTCAACCCTCAACCCCAGCAACCTCCTCCCCCAGCTCGGCGTCTCGGCGCCCAACACCCCCCACGCCTTCCTCTGCTCCTCCCTATCCAGCGCCATCTGCGCGCGCTCCACCGCGCGCCCATGACTCCCAGCATCGAAACGCAGAGAAAGCCGTTGCAGTGCGGAGAGGTTGCGCAGTGCGTGCGCCATGCGGACGCTCATGGTCCAGAGCGTGATGTCGACGTGCGAGAGGAGGGGTGCGTGGCGGGTTAGGAGGGTGGTGAGGAGGGCGGATTGGAAGTTTGAGAGGGTGGTGTAGGGGTAGGTTGTTATGTTTGGGATGTGGAGCCAGTGGTCGTGGGGATGGCGGTCGGGAGTGGGATGGACCTGAGAGGAGAGTGTTTGAGGAGGGGAAAGACGGTGGTTTGATGCGGAGAATGAGTATGGGGAGGGTAAGGGGGGATTCCCAACGAGAGGGATTGCAGGTTTGCGTTTGCGAGGGTGCGGGCTGGACGGCAGGTTTCTGAGAAGCGGAGCAGGGAGGGGAGGGGGAGGGAGGTGATGATTTGGCTGAGGAGTTCGGCGGGGAGGGAGAGGATGTGGGGGGACATTCTTTCTTTCTTTTTTTCTTTTTTGGAGGTTGGGGGGATGGGGAGTGGGTGAAGGGGAAAGGAAAGGGGAGTGGAGTCTTGCTTTCTTGACTAGAGGTAGATGGTGAGATAGTATGACAAGAGATGGATAGACATCTAGTTGGGAATCCCGAGACACTTGTAGTAGATCCTCCAGAACAGATTGTGCTGTTGTTACCTCGACCAAAAGAGGCCATACGTGAGGCCCTATTTTCAGCCCTCTCCGCGGAATCACCCACCGCACTCGTCCCCTCCCCTCTTGCTCATTCTTCGCAAATCATCTCACAGGCGCTTATCCCATCGGTGTCTCTAGCCCCAAGTCCTTACTCTTCAACAAACCCCGACATGGACGCCGTGGCGCTCGCCAGTGCTGTGGGGGTGGAATTCTTTGCGTGCGGCGTTTTTCCCTGACCTACATCGCATGATGTTGTGTAATACGGCCCCCCCCCGAAAAACCGAGGTGCGTCAGACGAGGTGAGGACAGTGTACCCGAGAGAAGACGAAGGGATATCCTATTTCTCACAGGGTCGATGAATGTCCGTGTTGAATCTGGGTTCTGTACGAAGGATCGCTGTGTAACTCTAAGAGACGCGATCGCAAAAGTGATGCATGGGAATGTGGGGTTTGCACGCATTGCAGGCTACGTGCTCTCGTTTCGACGCGCTCGGCGTGATAGTGATAAGAATCGAGCTGCTGTCAAGCAGCACAGCACATGAAGCCAGCCCCGTCATCTCTCTTCGGAGAATGGGCATTGCTGTGTGAGGCATACATCATGTCATGTGCGCTCGTGTGGATGCGAGATACATCACGACCGCATACCAGGTTGGTTGGGAATGGCCAAGCACGCACAGCGCCAGGATCTGGACATGGCAGATGATGAGCACCGGGGCCACGGGTACGTATTGTCAGTGGGTCGCTTGTGCATTCGCTACGCGGTGCATGCGTATATGCACGAGAAGCAGTATTGGATCCTATGATCATCTCGCGTAACAAAAAAGCAAGCATGCATGGAGAAGAGTGTACATTCGCCTTTGGTCCTCTGCATTGGGGCGAGATCGCCATCGCTATTGTATTCGAAGGCCTGCCTTAGCCTATGATCAAGCCACATGTTGCGAGGGAATAATGAGGCGTGTTGGTGCAACTCGAGATCAAGCTCTGTCGGGGCTGGGGATCACTATCAAGCCTCTCCACCAGCACCCCTCTCAAAAACCCTCACGCTACCGTCGCCTTTAACCTGGTACAGAAACTCCTTTCCTCGCCTATTGTCACCACTTTCTTTGGGTTCATTTTCGTTGAGATCCAAGTCTGACCATTCATGCTTCTGTTCGGTGATCCGTATGACGCCGCTCACGTCCCTTGCAACTCCAGTGTCCAAGATCCTCACACCCAGTATCCTCCTGCTCATGTGAGCAAATTTGACTAGCAGGTTGTGATGCGCAAGCTCAAGTGGTTGAGGTGGTGTGGAAAGGTTGAGAAGCGGGTTATCGGATTGTATATGGGTGAGAACAGGTGACACAGTTGGTATTGTGTGAAGAGCCAGAGTAAGCGAAGTGAAGTCCGAGGGTGTGATGGAGGGGTTGAGGGCGAGGAGGAGGTCTGGATTATCGAAGATGAGGAGCGTCTTTCGCTGTACCGCTGAGGGATTGAGTGCAGAGACGGCGCTGGAAATGGTCGTTTTGATTTCTGAAAGGTCGAGTGTCTTCAATACGTAATGACCGGGGGTACTGCTACCTGCGTCGGCCGCCTCTGATGTTGTAGGAACCGTAGCGGGTGATTGTGTAGGCGCTGCCGCTGCCACTGCCGCTACAGGTGGTCCTCTTACAGGCGCTATCCCTCCGAGAGGACCTCGTGCAGGTAATGTCTGCGGCCCTCTCTGCACCTGGATCCTATTCAGTCCCGTGACTTGTGGTTTTGCCTGTCGATTGGCCCGCGCGTCTATTCCGGATATACCATTGCCAGGCGTATTTGCACCAGCCCCCAGCCCATCAACGAAGGCGAATCTCCCCTCTTTCCTGAGTCTCTCCAAATCTAGACCCGCGCTCTTTCTGGATTCCTGTTTCCAGAACTCGTACTGTCGCATCCAAGAAACCAGCACTACATTGTGCCCCTCCTCCCCGCCGTCTTGAGCTGTGACTGTGCTCAGCGCATCGCACAGGAACCGTAGTAGCAGCCAGTTTGCGCTGGCTCCGAGAGTGCTCGTGAGCAGGATAAGCGAATCCTCGCGAGGAAGTTGGATGTATGGTTGGAGAAGAGGTGGTATGCGACTCGACGGTGGCATTGCGACACAGGGCTGGAACAAAATTGTGAAACGCAAGAAGCCGCCCTGAAGCGATGCACACGTGCCGGTTGCTGTCCGAGACCGATACTTTGAGGCTTTGAGGCTTCCGGACTCTGTTAATCTGCTGCCGTCAGTCAAGTTGCGTGTTGGACATTCGAGCCATCAGTCGGCATCCCTAGCAGTTGACCGTCACATTTTCTTTGATTGATAGTGCAGCCGTCATGTGTCTGACGCCTAATCTACTGTGAATGCTGACTTGAAACCCACGACCCTTGTGCTGGTAGATGAGAAGATCAGAATCGTCTAGGTAAACGCTTGTAGCTAATTAGCAGCATTGCTGTCTCACTGGGCATGATGGAAAGCCTAAGACTGAGCTGTACGATAGAGAACATCACGTGACCATGACGTATCTCCATCGGCCAGTGAAGCTGGAAACAGAATCTCCCCGCACCAACGATATGAAGCCCACTAGATGCACAGCAGTCTATGTATACACGATCATGGCGACCAGGATATCAGTGATGAAACAGCAGAGCATACGTGACAGGGCACCACTCAAGCGATGCTATGGCCGAGCGAGCGTGTTTTTGGATGGAGCGTCGTCGCCGATGCGCAATTCGCTTTTCTAGGCACCATCCTGCCTGCGTACGTCCGACTCTACCTCGTCTGCTTCTGTGGCAGCACAACTACATACGCAGACCGAACCTGCGCCACTTTCGGTTGGGTAAACACATTCCATAGCCACTGGTTATCTCGACCCTGCTTGCCATCGTCCAATCACATGCAGTCATACAGGACCCCAAATCAGTTGCAGCATGCCCAGTGATTTGCCAAGGGTAGACGCCTCAAAATGCGGTTCCCATTGGAGCCAAATGATCATCAATGGAACTTTTGTTAAGTTCACGTTGTTTTGCAACCTTCCTAATCCGTCATCCGGAATAATCGCCGTGGGCAAATTATATATGAACAAATAATCCCACAAGACGCATGACTAGCCATCATTTACTTGCTAGCTTCTATCACACAACAATCAGCTCTTCCAGGGACCACAGTGACACACTCGTATGCAAGTAGTCAGGCGGTAACCAGGCTTCAAGTATGCACGACGACCTCGAAAATGTTAGTGCTGCTAGCGAGCCGATACAAAACAACAACAATAGAAACTCTGTGTCGCCAGCAATATCCATAACGCATGCCTCAGGCGAGGACAAGAATCCGAATAATTCATTGCGCCAAGAGGCCCTTGTCGAAGAAAGTACAGCCAGAGCCGAGCCAGGAGAGACTCACGCTTTTCTCTTCAACGATCGTTCCGAAACCAGAGCTATAGGACAGTTCATTGCAAAAGACAAACACAACAGCGCATCAGTTCTCACGACATGGTGGTTTGAACTGGCCTCTTTAGTAGCCGCCCTATCGGCCTTGATCGCTATTGTGATTACTATGGCAAAGTATAACGATAAAGAGCAACCTGAATGGAGATACTCAATCAATCTCAACACGATCATCGCCGTTTTGGCCACTGTGCTGCGATCATGTATGGTGGTTGTAGCGGAAGAAGGTAAGAGGCCCATCGATCTTTAAGTCAATCAAGGGCTTGACACTGTACCAGTCATTAGCCAATTGAAGTGGTTGTTGTTTCGGCGACCACGGCCCCTCTGGCAACTTGAGCATTTTGATACAGCTACTCGAGGGCCCTGGGGCTCGCTGCTACTCTTCTTCCGAACAAGGTCTCTGTACGTATACTCCTACGGTGCTGTGGCGGAAGATTGAAAAATTGTATAAACTAAAATACATGATAGAGGTGCGGCGTTTGTAGGATGCATAGTCATCATACTGTCAGTCGGCATCGGGCCTTTCTCACAACAAGCTGTGAAGTCTGTATCGTGTGAGCGACCTCTGGCGGGAGCAGAAGTATCCATCAGGATCTCCCAATAGATGACCACCTCAAACACAAGTGAAATCGCAAAGGGTCACTCGAAATGGGACTTGGACTTGGACACCAAGGTTGCCATCCTGGACGGACTTGTGAATCCCAACACAACTCGGTCCGATATCACGCCGAGTTGCAGTACTGGCAACTGTATGTTTCCTTCACGCAACCGTGTCACACATTCTTCGGTCGGGCTGTGCAGGAAATGCGTGGATGCATCTGATCGGTTAGTGGAGGTAGGGCTACAAGATCAAGACCGGTGGATCCGGTTATCAGACGGTAATGGCATTAGTGGAAACCTAAATAGAAGCCTTCCACGAATTGCCCTATCTGTTCTTACACGATCCAGTATGCAGAGAGACTGGGAATCGGTTTCTCTGAACGGAAATCTTTTGAAACCATTCGACGTCTCATCAGACGACATATTTGCAGCATCAATACTCAACGTCAGCATTGTCACCTTTACGAATCATGGCTGTGAGTCCTTGGGGCGGGAAGATGACCCAAAATTTCAGCGTTGTCCAGGAGCTGATGCAAACTGGACACTTCCAGTCATGAACTTCCTAAACGCCGTGGCGGCAACATGCTCGTTCTACCCTTGCGTCCGCGACTATGCCGGAACTGTCCGCAACACCACCTTCACCGAGACAGTCATAAAGGAAACGCCAATAAAACCAGCAAGAATCACAAAGGAGAGCCGCACTTACGACTTCAAGGATCTGCACAGTCCATGGATCATCGATAACCAAATATACACACGCAACAATATATCCTCCGTACCAATCCAAGGCAACAACTTTTCTAGCTACTTTCTCAATAGCATCAGCACAACCTTCCCAACAGCCTGCATCTATGGCATCGATGGTGACTACGCACTGAGTCTTGGGCGTTTCATGCAATCCGTCATGAGTGGGAATTGCTCCACCGTGGCACACTTTGTTCCCGAATTTTACAAAAACGACTACAAAGCTCTGGTGTGTAACCCCTGGCAGCTCGAGGCCCTGGTAAACAAGGGCCGCGCCAACTTCGACACAATCAATCGCAATATGCAATCTGTAGCCACGGCTGTTACGAGCGAGATGCGTAGAAAGGGGTCTTACTATGATCCAGAGGTTACTTACGGTCCTCGGTTTCACAGTGCTCCGCCTACATTTGTTACAGGAACGGTTCTTCGTACGACGACCTGCACGAAGTTTGATTGGGCGTGGTTGAGTTTCCCGCTTGCACTAATGATTTTAACAACACTTTTATTGTGCATTACGTGCGGCAAGATGGTGTTTGACAAGTCCGGGGTTCCCGTATGGAAGTCATCGATTTTGCCGTTGTTGCTAGCGGGCCATCGACTGAGAGATGTGGCTGCTGCGGAGGATATGGATGACATGAAGGCGAATACGAAGTTGCTGATTGTGAGCCTTGTGCAGGATGAGAGAGGATGGGAGTTCGTGATTGAGGAGTTCAAGGATAAGAAGAGAGGGGAGGACTAGGCTTTGCGACACTCAAATGTAGATTAATCGCATTATCTATATAGAAATTTATCATCAAACCATACTTTTTGGTTTTACAGCTCTAGTGTGCTGATGAATAGGGTTACGAGCAACCATAGGTAAAAAACTCTTATCGTCCGAGCTCTGGTATAAGAGTACGACTTCTCTTTCCTGTAGAAGAAGCATTCAATCCATTATGACTCCAGTCATCCTCCAAATTCTTCGTAGCTCTATGCATCCGGATACTCCTGTGATATCGAAGGCGTGGAGGTGAAGATAGCTCGTCGCCCCTATTGTAAGACTCATTGCTCGACACCATCTACACCCGTTGAATAAGGCCAATCGCAATCTTCCGACAACTCGGCAGAGTATATTGTAGAAAGCCTTGCTCTCTCATGTCATCATAGAAGCTACTCAGAGAGTTACTCTGCAGACTTTCGGCATACAATATCGCTTTCAGTGTTTTAGTTTTCATATTTTATCATCTGTTTATCGATATTTATCTACATCGGCTTTCATGCCAATGATACCGTGTGTCCCGCATCCACCACTACCCATGGGTATTAGAAGCTGGGTACATTCCCCGTTACCTTTTCATATCATTGAAAGTTTTCATAAGTGACCGTCGAGGCCGAATCACCGTCCCGTAGAACTTTGGTAGCTAGATCTTGAACCCAGAACCTCAGATTATCAGCCCATCAAAGCCCCACATCTCAGACTTGCTCCTCCTCTTGGATGCTGACCCACTCACTCAAGGTCTCCGTTGCAACCGTCTTTTGCTGTTCCTTTTCCGGACCTAGGTAAGACTCAATGACAGGTGGACAGAGTAGGTCGAATAGCGATGGAGTCGCGTTTGTTACTGGGGTCTGAGCATCGGGTTCATCGTTGGCGCTACTATTGTCCGGGCTTTCTTGCGTCTCAGGTGCTGTGACGACCGGGGCGCTCGCTTCAGGTGGCCCAACGCTGAGATCCAAGCCCAGTAGGTCCTCCAAGTCCAGTATTTCTCCGTAATGCGTGGTACCTGCTGCTGTCTCCACGGCTCCAATTTCAGCATCTGATTTAGCAGGACGAACGTGCTTGGTTTGGCGAGGCTGGTCACTGGTCCCATTCGGTTGGTGACTCGTTTTGCCGCCGGTAGCAATCTTTCCGAGCTCACTTGGGAAAAGCCATGGGAAAGATATCAGTGGCATGTGCTCTGGGTCCTTGATACGAAGAGGTACAGTGCTGCCTCCGACAATCTTGGTTTTGGTACATTCGTCCAAAGCAGTTTCCATCTCGCGTGCTGTGACTGTGTACATGGCAGCAACAAAAGGTCCTAGGCGTTCCCAGTCGTTGTTATCACTTAGCTCCGCGGCAATGCGGCACTCGCTGCGGAATTGATGCTTCAATGCTGCAATGGTTCTGCCGAATTCTTCGGCAAATTTATAGTCACCGCTCTCGTGGTTGTGCACCAGTACGAAGACAGACCATGCTTCGAACTCGGTTTTGATACCGTGTTTGGCCATCAGTCGTCGGAGTGCTTCGTCGTATGAGAGCTTGAGACTCGCCGCCTTGTCCAATAGTTCTTGGTCGAGGTCGAACGCCCCCAAGATGCGCTTGTCAAACGGGTTCTCCCACTGGGGCTTAAAGTCGATCAATTTTACCTCATCGTAGAGAAGACCGAGAATATTCTTAGACGTATAAATCTGATGTTGAGATAGATACTTCTTCTCCATGAAATGCGGCCATTTCCTTGGCCTGAGTTCGCGCTTCATCTCAGCTGGTATGCCGCTCTTGGGGAAGTCCACTGCTCTCGAATGCAGCTCCGCCAGTTCGAGACAGATTGGATCACCAACGCCGTCTTGGTTTAAGTCGGCTTGCGCAAGATGCGCATGAGCGATTTGGCCGAGAGCGTCGTTTTTAATGTAGTTAACGAAGAACTTACTCATATCAATGGCGGAAATCGGACCGTCAATCTCCAATGGTTTTTCCGGTGTGAAATCCATCGGCGGCTCGTTGATGAGCTTTGGTACCAGGTCTTCGTCCCATAGGACCATGTAGTCATCTCCATCAAGATCACCCCCAGAGCACATGTTTGCAAGGTCGCGATCCCCATTCTGAGGAAATACCACGACATTTTTGAGATGGTGAAGTGCTGGGACGTTCACTGCGCGAACCACTCGAACATCTCCTGGATGCAATGACGGGTTTCGTGCTAGTATGCATATGCCTTCGATGGTAATATAATGACCTTTGCTGTTAGGATCGCTGACCCGTAAGAAGATTTCTGGCAGGGTAGCTAGTTTCTCCTCCCTGGTAGCATCAGGTCTGGATTGAGGGTCGTTTAGATGTCCTTTGAGCGTCTTAGTCTCGTCAACACAGCCGAGCAAGAAAGCGCCCTTATCAATAGCAATTCTTGCCTTCTCTTTCAAGTTTTTTATAGTGCAAGCTCTCCAAAGTGCGAGCAAAGACATGATGAAAGGCTCACGGGATCCCATGAAGCCATCTAAAACCATTGCAGCCATCGTCAAGGTAATCTGGTTAATGTCGATGTTCTTTCTGAGTTTCTGTACGGCGATCGATTCATCACTCATTGCTTTCGAATACTCGTTCATCATGTCTTCTTGTTTTCGAAGGAAAACCGCATCTTGAACGCCAAGATATGAAAGAACGAGAATAATCTGCCGGTTGAAATATGGTGTCGCAAAGGAAGATGATCGGATGATCTCAAGGCCGGTATGAGGGGCCCGAAACTTGTATTGGCTCATTCGAATGTGAACTTCGTTACCATTCAGATTCGGGTCGAGTGCAAGTACTCCTTTGCTTCCTCCAAGTCGAAATTGGAAGAGGGAAGGGGGGTCAGTAAATGCGTTGGCCAAGCCAAGTTCCTGAGCTGCCATTTGGGCCAGGAAGGGAGAGAGCTTTCCAACACCATCCGTGAAGACGAAACCGTTGCGCTCAACGTCTGGAGCCTTGACAAGCTTCACAGTAACCCCCATCGCGCGTGTCGTAGAGAAACATTGACCCAGACGCGCTGCAAATTTGGATACGGTTTTGATATGATCAAATTCTCCAAGAGACATACGGATATCGTTCGCCGACTTTGACGCTGTAGGTGCATAAAAGTAGGCACCATTCTCACGGAACTGTGAATTTCCAAACGCTAGGAACTCATAGTATCTCCCGGCAACAACGATACCATTCTTCATGGCGCGAAAAACCCTGTCAAATAGTGCTTCAGCCCTACCATTTGGCTGGTTACGTAGCTGACCCTCGGACTTCTCGTCGGTGAATCTCACCCGAATAAAGCGATCAGCGTCCGCTTCATATTTGCGAATGATACGGTTGGATGTCTCCATCACAGGTGTTGCCACATGCATCATAGTTGGAGTGATGGTAACCGATCGCTGCAGAAGACAGTAGCTCGGTATCTTTCTTTTCGTACTTTTGATTGGGATATCGAAAATCTCCATGGGATTGTAGTAGATTTTCTGCCTGTCAGCAACCTTCTCCAAGATGTGCACAGCTCGTTGGCTTTCTAGCGTCTCTAACTTCTTCAAGAACCCAATCGTGATAGTGTGCTCTTTGATATACCCATTTGAAAGGCAGACTTCAAGCTGGTAGCGTACCGGAAAACTCAGATGAGCCTGTCTTGCGAAGATATTGTTGAAATCCATTCCCTGGTTGCTGGGAGTGACATCAAGATGCGGGTGCGTACCGTATATTTCCTCTGACAGAAGACTCCACAGTGGCGAGGGGATTTTCCGCTTGGTAGGATAGTCGATGAGATCCTTGATCTCCACCCCATGGTCGGTAAGGGCATCACTGAAGTTTTTGAATTGCGGGCCACTCAGTGATGGATTATCAAATACCAGGCGGTAGTCAGTCCATCGACCTGATCAGATTAGCAGGAGCTTGCTGAGACTAGTTTGGATGTTTACGTACCAATGTCGATAATAGCAGTGTCTCTATGATTCATCACGGGAGTACGCCGGAGGGTTGCTCGAATGGCTCCATCAACGATATCAGTCACTCGGTACCAAGTATCCCAATCACTCCAGATCTTGTCTGTCCTAGAGAAACTAGTTTGCTTTCGCCCGTCGCCCAGGTTTTCACCTTCGTTTCTCTGCATGTAGAAACATGGCGTGGAGTCGAACGGAATGACGAGGGACGGCTGACCGGTGCTATCTTTGGTTTTGTAAATGTGCGAGATTAGAGAAATGGGTAAGGAGAAGCGAAACTTTCGCATCTGGTTGTTGATTGGAATTCGAAGTGAAAACAGAATATCGAGCTCTTTGCGCTTCAAGTTTAGCGTCACCTGAACACCATCCTTCGCAGGTGGCTCGACGGTGCGCATAGCAATCATGGCTTTTTCCGACACTCTGGCGCCAAACTCGATCCGCTTCGCAGAAAGTATGGTGAACTCGTAATACTTCTTCGCAGTATTTGTGGGACTTGGGATAGTAGCGGCAAGAGGTGGGCGTACTTCAGACCGCACATGTGCAGCACCAACTCGCAGCCTTTCACAAGGGATGGGTTTGTGGGGAGGAGGCCTGGAATACGTTAGTTATGTTCATTTAACTGTGGCGCATGGCTTACCTGAACACTACATATGCATTGTAGCTGGCATCACTACGCGATGTCTCCATTTCGATCCTGAAGACGTTGCCATACGATGACATTGCCTGGTAAACTTCTCTTGTCCAGCAAGTCTTCGGTAAACCCAATATCTTGAACTTGCTTTCCTGGTAATGCGCTGCCTCGCTTTTCAGGATGGATCTATGCAGACTGCGCTGACCATTTGAGTCGCCCTTGGATTTTGCTCGGTTAGTCTTGGAATGGCTGCCAGAGCTACCGGAACTGTTGGAGGATGCTCTACTACTGTGGGAGCCGCCACGAGAGCCGTGTCGAGCGCCTCGTTGGCCGCCTCCATCCCCGCGATTCATACTACAGCTTCACAACTGATTTTGTGCTTGGGGCTTGCCTCTGATTTTGTTCGCTGTAGCGCTGTAATGTATGGTCTTTAGCACGTTATGCAAGCGGTGGACGGTGTGGAACTATTATGGTTCTATTCAGGATTGGGAACCCATGTTCGTTTGCACGTAGAGGCGCTTGCTTTCACTCTTACTTACAGGGACGCACTAAAAGATTGGCGGCTGAGGCGGTGAAACCCCACCAGATCAAGAGAGGCGGGAATTCAACAAAGCCGATCCAAGTGATAGAGAAGCGACAGACTGGTCAGGTAGTAGTGGGAAAGTTTCTACCGAATTCAAAGACTTTAGTTAAGAACTTTAGTTTTGAGACAACGACGACCAGACCGCAGGGATAGAAGTAAAGTGGGCCAGTGTGGCGGGGACTTGTTCGCTTGTTCAAATGATGGAGGCAAACAAATCTTGACACGGGCTGTCTAAGCGGCCGAAACGTGTAGTTGCAGGCACGCGCAAGCAATCGACTATTGCGGTGAGTGTGGATGCGGCGAAGTTGCAATTCTGGCCTTGGAGCTAGCTTTGTAGTAGACGCGAAAGTCTGTGTGGTTGTGATAATAGTATTTAAAAAAACAAATATCGATCAGATTGGGAAGGGAGAAAAATCTCGGGCCGATAGAAAAGGAAGCCCTTTGCAAGGAAGGTGAGAGGGATGCAGCTGTGTATGTGTGTACGTGTACTCGATAAGCGTGCGCAAGTTCTACTAGTAGTTAGTAGAGAGACAAGTTGCAGCCAAGTGGAGGGCTTGACGTCACGCGGACAATGACAGCGGTACCAGAAAGGCGCCAGTTTCATGTTGCGCACTGCAATTTCGAATACAACCCGGTTAAGATCATATTGAAAAGGGGATTTGTGTTTTTGCGTTGCAGATTAAAAAAGAAAAAAAGATGCCAAGCACACATGGGGTGCTCGCTAAACTAGTACTACTAAGCAAGTACTACAAGGGCATGCAGTTTGAAGACAAGAGGTCATTCTGCAATACCAAGGCAAAACAACAGAGAAACAATAAGGACTGATCCACAGCCAACAGTGAGGGAAACAACAACGCGAGGTGGATGCTTAGTGGGTCGAGGTCTCTTTTCCCACACAAGGTAATCCCTTTACTATTGATACGCAAGGAGCACATTGCATGCATTTCGTACTCTGATGCAGCTGGCCGAATTATCATATCAACAATATAATAGCGCTACATCAACAATCTATCTGAATCTCCATGTGCTATAAACTGACTCTAGGACATGCGTGTGGAAGACACCTCACAAAATAAGAACACAAACTAGTTTGTGTATATCGAGATAAACGCCGAGAAAACACAGTTACCAATGCCGCTGGGCCAATCCATTGGTCCCATCATTTGGCATGTCTCGCTCCTCCCCTTGTGCCTCTCACCTTTGTGATGTCCACAATAGTCTCGTCGAGCTCCTCCATCGGCTCATCAACATCAACATGCGCCCTCTCTACCTTTTTCGCCCGTATACGACGCACCGCTTTACCTGCCGCAGTAGCTTTACTGTTCTCTTGCTTGACCACTGCGGCAGTGTTTCCAGGCTTGCGTCCGGGCTTTGTCCTAGGCTTTGTTGCAGACTTCTTGGCAACCGGAGATTTCTTGGTAGCTGCAGCGGTTCGGGACGAGCTTGTCTCACTTGCATCGTCTGTTGATACCTCAACAAGATTCGTTTTGGGACTTGGAGATCTCTTCTTCCCTGGTTTGGGAGTAGCTTCCTTCCTCATCCTTTTGCGTTTACCTGCTGTGATAGCGGTACTATCGGATGACCCATCATCCGAATCGTCTTCAGATATGAAGCGAACCGACTTTCCCGAAGTCTGGTGCTTGCCAGTGGCACCCTTCCCCAGCGATGAAGGCGTCCCAACCTTGTTGCGCTTGCTCTCCGGAGTATAGGCTTCATCACCAATACTACGTTTGCGCCTAACAGTCCTGCCGCTGCTGGGCTTGGGCGTGGTAATATCGGCGGGTGTGTGTTCCAACTGCGACACATCCACTACCGGTGTCTCAGATCCAGGTGTATCGTCAGACTCCTCGATAGGAACGGCATCCGTTGTTGGAGTTGTTTCAGCACTTGTTGGCGCAGTGCTGACGCCACTCTGACGTCTTGGACTCTTCTCGAGCGACATCTCACGTTCTCGATTGATCATTCTAGAAACAGGGGATGACACATGATTGTCCGATGTCAGTTTTCCGTTGGCTTGGTCTGCTATCCTGAGAGCATCTAGTACTGCTTTGCGTGCTTTTTCTCTCGCAGCACGTGCACTCTTTTCTGCAGACTGGGCCTCTTCCCTTGCAATACGAACCAGGTCATTTGCAATAGCCACTCTGTTTTCTCGTGTCCGCGGCAAAGACGCTTGTGACTTTCCGGATGACAACTTGGCGGGAGTCTGAACCATAGTTGGTGTGGCTTCAGCGATAGTGCTCGAAACCGTTGCTGCGCTCTTTGTTGTCGACGATTGCACTCGAGTAGCGTCTGCACTGCCAGACTGAGCACCACTTTGCACTACACGGTGACGTGGCTTGGTGGGTGAAGCATTTACAGCACGTCGAATATTCGTTGGGCCATCTGAATTTGGGTTAGTGTAAAATAATGAAAGAACTAATTTGTTCTATACCTTTCTGCTGAACGCTCAGCTTATCCAGGAAGATCCGCGGAGCATATTTCTTTCCAAACTCATCCTTCTCTTCGCCAGCGTTGAATTCTTCCACAGCTTTTGCGATTTGATCGGCCGTGCACAACCGCTTTATCTCTTCTTCAATCTGCTTTGATGGCATCGGGAGTTTGAATCGGGACCCAGATTCGTACAAAGCAAGACTTTTGTATTGGTCAAGAGCTGGATGGTCGAAGGATACGTTGGTCTCGACAACGTCACCCTCTGCTTTCTGCTTTTTCACAGATTCATGAAGGTCATAGGCAATTTTGAGATTTTCCCAGTACGCCAGTTGATGTGTTTCGGGGAAGGGCAGGATCGCTGGGAAATTTCTGTGCCAAACCTCAGCATCACTGGACGGTCCTCCGTACTTGAATGTCCGGCTGGTTTGCACCGTTTTCTGTGTTTTCTGGCCTTTTCTCAGGGGCCCAGTCACAGGATCATAAATCTGCTCATCTTCTCGGTATAACGCGTGCGTCACGGTTGCATCAGATCCCCTTTCCCGCAAAGACTCTCTGTTCTCCATCACGGTTTGTGTGCTTTGTCTAGCTGCATCATAAGCCTCCAGCTCTTGCCTAACCGTACCGCGCAAGTGTTGATAGAGCGCATCGTCGAAGTTGGCCCCTTGCCGAGGCAATTGCTGTACGAGATAGTCATCGATTTTGGCTACATGCTCCATATATGTCGCGGGAGAGTCATCACCTCCTTCGTCATCCAAGTATTCCAGAGCTTGGGCCAGTCGGCGGTTGATCTCCTTTGATGATGGCTCTTCACTACCGCTCGTTGAGGCAGCCTGCGTAGGGCTAGATGGGCTGCTGAGGTCGGAAAGATTGTCCGCCAAAGGATCACCGTAGGTATCCACCATTGTGTATCTGGTCAAAAGTATGGAATCAACAGCTGGGTCTTGCGCATGTCAGCAGTGGTCATTTCACAACACGGAAACAAATAGACTAAATCATTCATACCTTGTCCAAGTCACGAATCGAACTGAAGAAAGGGGCACAAGAGACAATTTCGTGAGTTCGAACAAGATATCTATTAGGCAGACAGGAACAAGAAGTCTTTGTCGTGACTGCGGACAAAGGATGTCAATAATGAAAAACAGTAGTGCTGGCCGCATGCGGTTACCCGCCTTGACATTGTTTGACCATATTCGTTGGAATCTTCTTTGTGCAGACGGCAAATAGCATAGTAGCACAGCCATACGTAGTGCTCGTGACGATTAGTGACATTTCCTTGTGGTAAACAAACCACAGTCGAAGCGGTATTGTAGTGTTCCTCTCTGTGGCGATTCCAAGCTTGCAACAGCGGTTCGGGCTGAGGACAGGTCATCTGTAATCTTCTCCAAGGCCAACACGATAAATTGATACTGTAGGGGGCGAGGCAAGGCACGCGTGTTACCCCCAATAAGCAATTAGCTTGGCAGTGTTCCAACGCGCCAGCACGTGACTGGCACCTCCGCCCGAAACTCCGATGGCCCAACTTTTTTCCTGGTGGGCGATTCGGCATCCCGAAGCGACAAGACCTCAGCGTCGTCCTTTCGTTGTATACCCTTTCTTTTAGCATTTTGAGGTGTTCAAGATGCGGGTACAGTCTATCCTCCGGGCTCAATCGCTCGCCACGAGCAGTCTTCGCTGTTCTGCTCGATCAGCAGCGAGAACGCCTTCACGATGCGCTCTCTCGACTATTGCCGCATCGCGCACGCCATACACCAATGGATTGAAGACCGACACATGGATAGAAAGCCAGCGGATCCAGCAGCAACGAAGATGGAACTCAGTGGCCGCTCAAGTGTATGTGCCCGCAGAGACTTCCATAGACAATGGCGAGGTGGCAGCAAAATGCTGATTAGGAAGTTTAGATTAGAGCAAGCCAAAGAAGATCCGTCCGCCCTGACCCAGGAGAAAATCGTTGAGAACCTGAACCCTGTCGAGTGGGAACGACTCTCTAGAGTACGAAACATCGGTATCGCTGCGCACATTGACTCTGGTAAAACTACCGCCACCGAACGTGTTCTCTTCTACACCGGCCGTATCAATGCTATACACGAAGTCCGTGGTAAAGATTCTGTAGGCGCCAAGATGGATTCCATGGATCTTGAGCGTGAGAAGGGCATCACTATTCAGTCTGCCGCCACTTTTTGTGACTGGGTCAAGAAGAACGATGAAGGAAAGGAAGAGAAATACCACATCAACTTGATTGATACACCTGGCCATATCGACTTTACCATTGAGGTAGAGAGAGCGCTGCGAGTCCTCGACGGAGCTGTCATGATTCTGTGTGCTGTCAGTGGAGTGCAAAGTCAAACCATCACTGTCGACAGGCAAATGAGGCGTTACAACATTCCTAGGTTATCCTTTGTCAACAAGATGGACCGAATGGGCGCCAATCCATGGAAGGCTGTTGATCAGATCAACCAAAAACTCAGGATAGCAGCTGCGGCTATTCAGGTGCCTATTGGACGCGAAGATGGTTTCTTGGGTGTGGTCGACCTGATCAGGATGAAGGCCATCTACAACGAAGGATCCAAGGGCGAAATCATCAGGGAAACCGACGAGATTCCCGCAGATCTTATTGAGTTGTGCAAGGAGAAGAGGCAAAAACTCATCGAGACATTGGCAGATGTGGACGATGAGATTGCAGAGCTCTTCTTGGACGAGCAGGAGCCAACCGTTGCCCAGATTAAGGCTGCCATTCGACGAGCAACAATATCTCTCAAGTTCACTCCAGTCATGATGGGTTCCGCCCTCGCCGATAAGTCTGTACAACCGATGCTCGATGCCGTATGCGATTATCTACCGAACCCCTCCGAAGTCGAGAACATGGCGCTGGACAAGAAGCGAGCAGAAGCCCCAGTCAAGCTAGTCTCATACAATGATTTACCGTTCGTTGGTCTAGCATTCAAGCTAGAAGAGAGCAGCTTTGGACAGCTGACGTACATTCGTGTATACCAAGGTACGCTCAAGAAGGGCATGAATGTGTTCAACGCTAGGTCAGACAAGAAGGTCAGGATCCCTAAGATTGTGCGCATGCATTCCAACGACATGGAGGAAGTACCGGAAATTGGCGCTGGAGAAATCTGTGCAGTGTTCGGTGTTGATTGTGCATCTGGCGATACCTTTACTGATGGTAACCTTGCATACACTATGGTAAGTGGCCGCAATTATTTGGGCCTGTACGGAGCTGACATTACAGACCTCCATGTTTGTTCCCGAGCCCGTTATCTCTTTGTCGATTAAGCCCAAGCACACCAAGGATACACCCAACTTCAGTAAGGCCATGAGCCGCTTCACCCGCGAGGATCCTACTTTCCGCGTTCACACCGACCCTGAATCGCAAGAAACCATCATCTCAGGTATGGGTGAGCTGCATCTCGACATTTACGTCGAGCGCATGCGCCGTGAGTACCGAGTCGAATGCGAGACTGGACAGCCACAGGTTGCGTACCGTGAAACAATCACCAAGCGCGTCAACTTTGACCACACGCTGAAGAAGCAGAGTGGTGGATCCGGAGATTTTGCGCGTGTAGTAGGATGGCTGGAGCCCAGCGAGTCCCTCGCCGAGAACAAGTTCGAGCAGCAAATCTCCGGTGGAACTATCTCAGAAAAGTTCTTGTTCGCTTGCGAAAAGGGATTCATGGCCTCAACAACCAAGGGTCCTCTTCTCGGCCACAAGGTACTGGGCACCTCCATGGTCATCAACGACGGAGCAACGCACGCCGTTGACTCCTCCGAAATGGCTTTCAAGAACGCTACTCAACAGGCCTTCCGCAAGGCTTTCCAGTCTGGTGCACCACAGGTCCTCGAGCCCCTGATGAAGACTACCATTACTGCACCAAACGAGTTCCAGGGCTCCGTCGTTGGACTCTTGAACAAGAGGAACGCAGTTATCAACGATACGGAAATTGGACCAGAGGACTTTACAGTGTATGCTGATTGCAGTCTGAACAGCATGTTTGGCTTCAGCAGTCAGCTACGTGCCAGTACGCAGGGTAAGGGCGAGTTCAGCATGGAATTCAGCCACTACAGTCCTGCGCCGCCGCAGCTGCAAAAGGAGCTTGTTGCTAAGTACGAGAAGGAGCAGAAGGAGAGGAATGCTTGAGCCTGAAATATGGGCAGGAGAAGCATGTTGAAGAGAAGATGTTGAGGACTCGAATGGTATACCCTGGTGAAAAAAAGCAGGACAACATGGACAAGAAATGTATGACTTGCATATAGACGGAAATGTCTGGCGTATTCTACGGAACCAAAACACTGGGTGTATGTAGATTATTTGTACATGTATTGTAAATGACCACGCAGCCTTGTAAACGACTGAAGAAAGAAAAAGAATGATATCCCTCTCAACAATCACAACCTTCTACCTTCCCATCTCTCTTTGAAAAAAAAAACAAGTTACTCAACATCCAACCCCGGCCTCATCCTCCTCGCCCTCCTCTCAAACGCCCTCCTCACCGCAAGCGCCACCTGCGCCCATCCTACAACCTCGTTATGCCCTCCGTACCGCGTAACCTCCAGCTCTACGCATCTCTCCCCCTTCGCATCCTCAACCTTCTTGTACGCAAACGCACCACGCTTAACACGCTCACCCCCATGAATACTCCGTCTCGTCTCCTCCGCCGCCACCTCCGCCGCCGTGTCGGCAGACCCCAGCATAAGCGTCTGCAGCGGCTCAAATAGCGTTTCGCTCTCGTGATATGAAATATCCTGATCGTTTCGCGCGTGGAGGAGGGAGATGTAGAAGCCGTGTTTCTTGGATTTCTCGGCGGAAATGAAAGATTGCAGGCGGGGAAGCGTGGGCCAGGTGTCGAGGATGCGGGAGGAGAGGAAGTTTGCTAGAACGGGGTAGGGTTGGAGGGGTTTGAGGATGGGGAAGATGCCGGCGATGCGGTAGTGTTGGAGGAGGAGGGGGAGGGTGCGGAAGGGGGCTACGAGAATTATGCCGGCGAAGGATTCTTTGGCGGGCTTGGGAGGTGGTTGTAGGGTGGAGAGGGAGGAGGGGAGGTGAGGGGAGGTTGGGTCCGTGTAGTAGAGTGCTGCGGCTGCTGTGACGGCGGTGCCGAGACTTTGGCCTAGGAGTACGGTGCGGGACATGGGGTGGGAGAGATTGTTGGTCACGTAGGATACTAGGGAGATGGCGTCGGTGATAATGCCGGTTTCAGTGGGGATATGAGGAGGGTTGTTGAGGGTGGAATGTCCGAAGCCACGGTAGTCGCAGGTTAGGAGGTGGGTTTTTGGGATGCCGGAGATGGAGCGGTAAGTTGATGGGCGGTAACCTTGAGCGATGTGTCCAGCGTTCTGTCTGAGTGTGAGAAATGAATTTCGCTTGCTTTGGGATGAAGCGGGTGTTTTGAAGAGAAGATAATGAAGTCTCTAAAGAGAGACTAGACCGTGCCTGACGACTGATAATATGGAATGGAGATAGTAAAAAGACATAATGAAAGTTGAAATATAGTAAATCAGGGAAGATGAACAGAAAATAGAGACTTACGCCATGAAAGTTGATCACAACTCTAGTATCAACATCCCTACTCATCAGCTTCTCCCCCACCGTCCCCTTCAACTCTTCAACCGCCTGTCCCACTGCCGCCGCCGTGGAAAGTTCATGTTCATTCTCCAGATACACATCTAGAGGAAGCACGTGCCAGCAAAACAGCTTCTCATTATCAAAAGTCGTGAGCCAGAACGGCTGAACCTGGCCCTCTGTTGGCAAGAAAACATGTTAGTCAATCAAAGCACCACTTCAATCGTACTTCCCAACCCACCACAACCCAGATACGATAAAATAAAGATAAGATGGATAAACTTACTCGCAAACCCAAACTCCTCGGGATTCGACACATTGCTCCAAAACCCTATGTGGAAT